AGGCCATAATCTGGGGCCCCCCCCCCCCCCACCTGGCTGCGCCACTGTTCAAGTGGTAGCACATCTCATCTAGAGCTTGATAAACGAGTTATAATGCCTCAGGAAAATCCAAAGGCGGTTCACCATTGGAAACTACCTCAGTTTCTGGAAAAGATGTCTCGTCTTCAGTTTGAGTCGACCTTGCCTCCTGGGTTGATATAAAGCTGATCTCATGGGCTAAGGATAATCTCCGTTGAAAGCAATGGTTCTAAATTAAGTTTATTTGAATGTTTCTTTGGTTCTGTTTCAATTTGAAATTATACTTTATTTATTAGAACTACACCAGCGCTCAGGTTGAGTCATGACCCAAAATTTGGTCGCGGAAATTTATTTGTGGACGTGTCATCAATTTAACAGTCGTTTGCCTATTTGGTGGGTCGCTTTAATTGATCACAATACAAAAGCATATTTTTGAAAAAAATAAAATACAAAACGTTTTCCGCATGCAGGACTAGCGAAATGTATTTTTATAAGTACTGTCTTTTGGTACGCCAACTTTTGACTACCCATCTAAATAAAGATTGTTTTAACACAGTGAACAGAACTACACAAAGACGGAACTTGGCCTGCATTATTTGTAGGACAATCAAAATGTATATTTATAAGCTCTTTCTTTGGTTCATTAACTTTTATTACCATGAAAAATGTACGAATGTTAGTGACGATAAAACACAATACACTTATTGCAAAATAACCTAAATGTAGTTCCGTTTATTTCATGATTTAACAACGGATGTCTTCTGCCTGGTCTCAAATAAGGCATAAGGACAGGAGTGGGATGTGGGTAATCCCTACATCATAACGTATTTCCTGCTTGGTCGCTATTTATGGCTTATCATCTTTTCATTCTCAACAATCCTCATTAACCAGGGGTTGCATTTATGTCTTTACTTTATTTTAAACGCATTCATCAAACTTTTACGATGTTGTAAATATTTTGTTTAGTTCCGATGAGGAGCTCTATGAGTACCGGTACTTCGCTCAATGGTTAATAGATCTTTTTTTGGTCATTGGTTAATATATCTTTTATGTATGAGCGGTCATTAGGGTCAATATACTCTACTGCCTCTTTTATACTGCTGATTGATTAATAGATATTTTTAGGTCCGCGTCGCCAGTTTTGAACAAACGTGCTTGAAATGTTGTACACATAACCTAGAGGGGATTTCCAACAATCGTTCATGGCCCTTTTCTTTGTGAAGTGTATGCCTACCGTGAAATGGTAGAATATTCTCTTCATGAATTGAGATGTTTATTCTTTGGTTAATAAATACTATGCAAGATACATAAACAAACTATAAGAAATAACAACTATAATATACCGTACACGAATTGCCGGATGTTATTTTTATGCGAACCACGTTAGGAGCTCTTTATTTGTTCTCAGTTATTATTTGTTTTATCCAATGATGATTTAATTATGTATGCTTTCACTCCTATTTGCTTATTATTTATGTGTGTTAATCCTCTGGTCTTGTGTATAGGCGTATGTTACCGTCTTTCTTATATTTGTTTACATGCTAAAGGTCTGTGATCAAAAGTACTCGTTACCCGTTTTCAAATAATTTTTTAGGCAAATCTTGACCGTATCCTGTTCTTATTTATATATACATTTGCCTATGCAGCACCTTTCATTTTAGTTTCATATTGCATATTGTTATGATTAGGCCTATATATCATATATACAATAAAATTGTAGTAGTTAAACGATTTTTTTGATTTGATTTGATTTGTAAAAATATTTTAATCGTATACACTATAAATCGTTATCGAATCGTGCTAGCGTAAAAAAAACTTCTCTTATTTTCAATGTGAACAATGGCTTTTTAGCAAAAAATCTTCCTATAATGGGAAGACCCTTATGAACATATCTCCTTGACCAAGTCAGCTACGTGGAAGTGATCGGTCTGCCTTTTCCAATAACGAAGACAGAAAGCAGGCGATAGAGATGCCTGGCGCAGCCATCAGGGATTCGTGGGAAGATCTGTCGGGGAAAAAATTATTTAGAATATTTTCTAAGCCTGAGATAGTACGTCTGAGAGCCAGTTTTGGGCATCTAGAAGTGACAATCTTATTTATTTTTCTCAGCCCAACCATGGGGCTGAGTTCAATACTAGACTCACAAATAACTGAATGGTGTTCAGCAGGTATAATACTCTGGATTTCATCAGTCTAATTGTCACTTTGTTTGCCTGGGGATGGTTTTACTATGAATTAGGCTACTTCAGAAAAAAATAGATGGGGAAGAGAGAAGGGGGGGGGGGGATGCTCTTCCTGACCACCAACATCCTCATCTAAGGTCAAATAAATGAACCGATACAATGAAGTCTAGAAATTCAGCAAGCATTTAATAATTAGTACTGTTACAAAATATGTACAAGTTATATAAATTTGTATAAAGTAAACACAAACCTCAATTTTGAAACCACACCTCAAATGAGGGCAGGTGCTAAAATACAAAAAAATGCTAGAGTACAGTTCTGTGTTAAACACATTATTTTTCCATCACCCTTGACTACACAAATATTGTACTAATATACAAACAATAGCCAGGTCACAATTCAAAAGTTACCCTGATTAATTCTAAATTCTCTATTAAAAAAAAAATACAAATTTGAATATTCATATGCAGCATGTCTGCTTCTAAATAAAACTCACACAGTATCTGTGTATTTATTCAATTGTGGAACAGCCTACAGTTTCTCTCAATTATCTTTATATACAGTAGTGTAAAAATCCTGTTAAGTAATATTTGGTGCTGCTATGATATTAACTTAGAGTTACTCCCTATTATTATTACCAAATGTTTTTTTCATCCTTACTGAGCAATATTGAGTTAATATGATTATCATTATTTACATATTTAGTTTATTCATACAAGGGTACAGATCTGTTTTGAAAGGGGTAATGCAGTCGTGAGTCCACACCCACCTCAGCTCCAACAAATTTGAGGAAAAAGTACCTCTAGATGGCTGGAAATTAAACTATTATATAGTAAAATTCATTATCATGTACTTTGTACAGTGTTCTTTCATTAAAACCTGGGCCTTGATGCAGTTCATTTCAACAATTCAGGCATCTTCTTGACTTATGAAATTACTCTGCAGTCAAAAAGTGGGGGGTCCAACCCCCCTTGCAAATATGTAGAGGGGATGTGTTCCTTGTCCTCTTATGATCTGCACCCATGTGCTCATACCAAATTGGTACATAAGTACAGCAGAAAAGACAAAAAATAATTTATGATGCATAATATATTGATGTATATTGCACAATTCATAAGGCAACTTGACTTTTAATACAATTATGTTTCTTAAGGAAGTTAGTATGTTTCACAACAGAGTGCGGTTATTAATTGTGACAGGGCGTTTATTCTAGACTAACATATGCAAATATATGTATAGTGTCAATATTTCTAATCATCATAATTGTCAAAAGTGTTATAGCGCCAAAATTCATGGAATGCAATGATTCTGTAGACCTGCCACAAGTCCCTTATTATTATTTTTTCTCATTCTGGACAGCGCCACCAAGGAGCAAGTTAATTTTAAGACAATAATAATAATCCGAAAAAAAAAAAGAAATCGAGTATGGGATGCCAAATAAATTATGTATGGTGCACAATAAGGACAATAAAAAGTGAATAACCCAAAAATTAGGGCCTGGAACCCAGGCTATGACTGCTGGGGTGTGACATTGATTAAGAGTGACTATCATTAACACCTATTTTAAAAAAACTTGATTTTTATGTGCATGTTTCATTTGACCAAATATACAAAATTAGAATACTTTGGCACGATTACTCAACTCCCATTGCATACCATCTCCTGGCAGCTTCGATGGCCAAGGAATGATGACTGCCAGAAACCATCTTCTCCCAAATACCACTTGCATGTTCTCTTTGATGCCATAATTGTACATGCTGCTCTTGTTGTGTGCCTCATGTGGAGTCTGTCCGTTCTTGATGTTGTTCAAGGCTTGGTAAAGCAGAAAGCCACATCCCACAGTGTACATCAAACACTGGTACATTAGGGTCAACAGGAGAAGGGCATACAGTGGCACTTTACCGAGGATGAACCGGCCTACAGCGATGGGATACAGGTGACCTAAAATGTCTCTGGAAAGAGGGGTACCAAAGTGGTCATGAAGATAACTCAAGTACAGTAACAAACTATAAAATGCAACAAGAATGGTGTAAATTAGGAAGGAAACATAATATCGATGATTGTAATGACCAATACATTTTCCAACGAAGAAACAATGGGAAATACGTTTCAGGACACACACGTTGCAAATTGGACAATGATGACACCTCGGTGGTGAGTCCAACCTACACAGACTGCAGTAAGTCCATTCTTTCATTGAATCACTGGTGTACATTGGAAGCATTGTTGTCTCCTCACCTCTTGATGATGTTTTAGTGAGAACTTGATTTCTATCGAGTGTTGATTCCTTCAGCAGACATAATAGGTAATTCACCACAAGACCAAGAAGGATGAGAATGAATCCAACCCGGTGCCACAATTGTGTGTTGACTTCATTGTGATATATAGCTGGTATACACACAAAATATGTTACAGATCCAACTATTATCTGCATCAAGATACAGTATATAGTGGCTGCTATGTTCATGATATGGAACAGTTTTAAAGTCTTTTTATCTGTCATTTTTTTGGGTCCACTTCAGTAAATTGATTGAGAACAATTCACATATAATTACAAACTGCAACTATCAAACTTGACAGGAAAGAGAGGCTTATTTTGGATGGCACTATGTTGAAGTATCATCAAACTTTTCCAAAGTTCTTCTAATGCATGCTACAGTCTACATATGGCTTGTGTAGGACCTGTTATGGAGTAAAATTAAAATATTAAATTTTGTTAAAACTATTTACACAACACAGCTCTCACAACACACTCACCAACCTTCCTGTAGTTAGCAAAGGTGATTTTTAAAATTTGCACCCTTAATGTCTCAAAACAGGTTTTAAAATGACCAAAAAACAAAAAAAAAAATGTTTCCAACTAGGCTCTCTTCTTACAGGTCGCCCATCATGATTCATGCCACGGGCCCCAACAAACAAAGGCCTCTCTGAGAGTCTCTGCCAGACAATCCTATTTAACTAAACATTCCTGCTCAATGCATTTGGGCGGATGCGGTAGTATTGGTACTATCTAGGCCCAACCCAGCTAGGCCTACCAGGGAGAATTAGTAGAGTCCAGTCGACCAGGCCCCTACTACTATAGACTTGCCACAAGTCTCTTATTTTTTATTATTTTTCTCATTCTGGACAGCGTCACCAACGAGAAAGTTAACTTAAAGACGGAATAAGCCTAAAAAAAAGAAATCGAGTATGGGACGCCAATTAAGTTAGGTATGGCGCACACTAAGTAGAGTGAGTAACCCAAAATTAGGGCCTGGAACCCAGGCTACTACTGCTACTAAAAAAGGGTTTCTGGACAAAACGGCAATAAGTCAAAACCGATCCTATTAATTAGTGCCCGGTAGCGCCCGGTAGTCCATGGTGGCACCTGCTAGCACCCGGTAGGCTCTAGCATGACGCCCGCTAGCGCCCGGTGCCATTAGTAAGATCAAGTAGCGCCAGTGAGTTTTAAAAAAACGTAGTTTAAGATAAAAAATATGTTATTTGCATATACAGAGCCTACTCTGATTTGTAAAGAAATTTCCCTCTGTGCTTTACGTAATCGCTATTAGGTAACAATCTTTATTAAGTAAATAATATTAGTAAAATTTTCAGTTCAAAATATTCTTTCCATTTTTATAGAGAGGGCCTACTCCGATTTGTAAAGAAATTTCACTGTGTGCTTTATGGCATCGCTATTAGGTAACAATTTTTATTAAGTAAATAATATTAGTAAAATTTTCAGTTCAAAATATTCTTTTCATTTTTATACAGAGGGCCTACTCCGATTTGTAAAGAAATTTCCCTGTGTGCTTTATGGCATCGCTATTAGGTAACAATCTTTATTAAGTAAATAATATTAGTAAAATTTTCAGTTCAAAAAAGCCGCTTCATTGTTACAGCGAATGCGTCACTTGCACACGCTGCTAAAGTGCCAGATGATGCATGCCCCCTCGGGAGCCTTTATCTGTATATTTATTCCTGATAGTTCTAGTATGCAACATTATTTTCTATAAATAAATATACTGTAAATATACCTTTTTTAAGCATTAAATACATGTCAAGCGCGGATCCAAAGTTTACCCTGGCTTTCACACAGATGGGTTCCCATATTGGGAGAGTGAAGAGAAGAGAGCTAGCTTGTTTTGTCGCTGAAGATAAATTTTAGATATTCGAAAAGTATGCACTTCGTGCATTATGAGACGTCTATTATTGAATACACTTTGAATTCATACTTTTTCCCTACTTTGCTATGGACAATTAATAATTATGATGATAAGGAGGAAGCTGTGCAAGATTAATTAACAGGCTCTTTTATGTGGAGTGTTAAGCGAGGCCCGTAGCCTACAGTACAGGTAAGTTACGGTTGGGAAGTTGGAGACATTATCGTCGTCGTCAAATGTTCAATGCACACAGTCGGACAATAGATGATTTATGATATCTGTTTTGTATAAAAAGTAATCTGAAACCCATAAAATATCAGTTCAGGCATTCATTTATCTGGACTGTCTGTAGAAAATATAACATATGAATCATACAAAATAAAAGAATTCAAATAAAATTAAAAATATGCAAAAAAACATCTACACTAAATCAAAATGAAATATTCACTGCCTGTTGGATCCTAGTTTTAGTATTGCAGGGGTTCTGAAGGCTTTACAGTATAACCAATCCCCGTATTTCTGATAGATTGCTGATTAAAATGTAAAATATTTAACATTTTATATTCAGTACATTCTCAAATGTTATGTAAATCTCATATATCCCAAAATGATGTTATATTCATGCACCGAGGTTACGTAGGAAGTTTAACTTAATAATTTTGATATGTTTTATGTTGAATAGTTTTTAATGATATTAATATTACAGTCTAATATGACCACAACATGAAGTCCTCTCCTTTAAACTTCTAACCTACTAAACTTTGCGTATCTCAATATACATATATAGTACACTCGTTAAATTAGTATATATATAGTATAGAGAATTTTGTCTGTCAATCTCAGATATCCAAATTTGAGGAGATTATTTACAAGTCAACTCGGCCACAAATCAACTCGGCCACAAGTCATTTACTGGTACAGTACTACAATTTGAAGGAGTAATTCATCGAGTATAAAATACTAATTCTTTAAGTATTACTACTGTATACTTATTGTTATTATTATTGCTGTTATTATTGTTGTCATTGTTGTTATTATTATTGTTGTTTTTAATACCGTTAGTTTTAATATTAATTATTAGTCTTAGCATTAACATTATATATTGTTCAAATTTTTGCTGATATTATTATTATTACAGTACCATATAAATAATAAATAATTTTCGATTTATTATTATTATTATTATTTATTAGTCTTAGTATTATTATTTTAATAATAGTAATTTAAAAAGTTACTGTTATTGGTGTTTTAATGGTATATTTCTCATATTATTATTATTATTATTATTAGTATTATTATTGTTGTTGTTGTCACCTTTATTATTGATATTATTACCCTATTATTACTAAGTAGGCCTAGTATTATAAGTATCATTATTATAGATTAACTTTTCACTAATAATAGGCCTAATTTTGTATATATAAAAACAACCAGTGCGATTTATGACAGTAGGCTTAGGCCTATCATTAGGCTGTCTCTTATACACATCTGGTCACTCTTTTTTGTGGTGTGTGTGTGTACCAAAAATTAATATGTCGCCCTCTGGAATCAGTAAACAAGAAGTCGGGTGGGTGGATTGGATGAATGAAGCTCATTGGATGAATTCACATAATAAGCAACATTTAAGTCAATTTTACAAGACTAACATGGACACAAACCACACATAACACGCCCCTCATGTAAGACCAATAAAATTGTAATTTTGGAAATATTTATTTTAATATTCAAAATCGAACAAATAAAATCAGAAGAAACATACATAATTTTGGAATGTGGTGCTGGAGAAAGATGCAGGGTATAGAATATAAGGACCTGAAAAGCATTATGGGTGGGTGTAGAATGGAGAAGAAATGTATATCTTTATCAGAGAATAAGAAACAACAACCCCGATATTGGATTGGATTTAACGCATCTCCTGTAAATATAGGATAAATATGGAAAATTGACGATTAAAAAAGATCGAATTGATAGGCCTATGTTGTACAACTGAATTTTCAAAGACACAAAAAGATGGTTAATGAAATAGGACTACAGATTTTTGAAAATTCAAAACCGGGGGAAGGGTGGGAAAGGGCAGCTACGCCCCTTTTCCACTTTCCTCCCAATTTTTTAATAGGCCTATTAAAAAATCATCTCATCCCATTGTGAAAAATCAGTTGCAGGCTTAGCGGGAGGCCTAGGCCTACTCGAAAAATTTTTTCCTCTGCATCTGGGGCCTGGCTTTTAATTGCATAATTCTGTTTATACTCAGATAAGAATGAAAACGTACGAATACACATCGATACGTCACGCACCTGACTAATTTCACATTGCACGGCCACTCACAGCATTTTCTATTGGTCTTTCCAGACTATCAGCGATAGGTTACCACAACCAGGGGTGGCGCCAGGATTTTCCCGACGGGGGTGGAGGGGAAGATTTCCCTTATGACAGCAAAGTGGGCGTGGTCGAGCGTCGCTTAAAATGTTCCGAAAGTGGCCAGGGGTCGGATCCCCCAAAATTTTGACAATTTAGGGGCTTCAAAGACTTATTTAATCGATTTTGGAGTCTACTGATATGTAGAAAATACATGGCTTTTTTTTCTCACCGACGAATTTTGGTTTTTTCTCCCTGACTTGGGCCCTGCCACCCCCTCCCCCACCCCCGGCTGGCGGCACCCCTGACCACTACCAAAGACTTTCGACTATCAGATAGGAAAATCAGTTATGCATCTACAGTATTTTGATACAGCGCCCTCTTTATTCATAGGTTTAGACTGTGTGTATGTTTTGTGATAAAATCATGTCATGTATTGCCACGGGTAAATTTGAAATGTCCAGCATCATTAACCTATGACTCTCAAAATAATTGATAAACCAATGGCATAATTATATCCTTAAAACTGATACACGAACTGGATTTGGGGATAAAAGTTCTGTCGAATATAACGAATGTAGGCCTACACTTTAAATAACACTTACTACATTCGATCAGTGAGATCAGCGATTCTCAGATTTATCGTCACTTAAAATGGATTATCGCTGCAGAATCAAGGGATGATTGAACCTCATCTATGCCGCCGAATTGTATATTTCAATTTATAACTTATCGTAAATAACGGATGGCGAGAGAAAGAGAAAGTTTGAGAGAGATAGTGTGAGAGAGAAAACCGTTGTAAAACTTAAGTTCTATACCGTACTGTATACGTAATTTTACTTTATATATTAACGTTGCAGTTTGGTATTCAAAACGGGGTTTCTTGTAGAACCATAAATATATATTTAAAATGTTATGTCTGACTAAATAACGTTGCATGCAAGTGTTAACGTTATTTTCCGACATAACTTCACGTTCACCTAGTGTTTTTAATTTGATCGTTCCCGAAATTGGCATCCATGTTGTCCATGACGATTACGATTAGTGATTGATTTTAGAATTTAGCTGAAATATAAACGGTAGTCATAAATTTTGACTCTTAACTGAGGTTTGTGGTTTTATACTGTTTATTGTGCCCATAAACGATCGTCAAATATAAACGTCATGATTGACAGGAAATGAAAGATTAACTTTTCACTAATAATAGGCCTAATTTTGTATATATAAAAACAACCAGTGCGATTTATGACAGTAGGCTTAGGCCTATCATTAGGCGTATCTAACACCTCAAAACCAGCACTCCAGAAAGAAGTCCACACCCGGCCGGGTGCTCTACTTCCATTCTACTGGAACTTTCTGAGTAGAAAAAAACTGAAAGATCCCATGGGTAAATTAATAGCCTACCTCATAACCCCACCTTCCTATCGCCTTATATGTATATTAATTAATAACGGTGAGATCACGGGTCTATCGTAATAAAGGACTGATTTACCGTACTGATTATGTAAACACTGAAAGCCTAATTATAAGACGATATACAGCTGGTGTAGGTAATTCAACATGATTAAAAACTAAAACGATGCATTGATAAGCCTAGGCCTACTACTAAAAAAACCAACGGTTCGTGCGCTGTTCAGAGGCGCCAGTGGAGGATCGGGGAAGGCTGTCCCCCACATCATCTCCAATCGGAGAGCTCAAACCATTCTCGGGGACAGAAAATATGATTGTTTTAAAAAAAATACTGTATATGATATACCGTAATAAAAAAAAAACCCAAGTTTGTGCGGACTGTTAAGTGGAGAATCGGGAAGTCGCTGTCCCCCGACACCATCTCCACTCAGAGAACTCAAAATTCTCGGGGAGAAAAATATCATTGTTATGTTATTTTCATAAAATACTGTATAGGCCCCTATATGGTACTCTAAAATCTACTAGGATAAATACAGTACCGTAAGCCTTTAAAATTCCTAAATTATTGTCTGAACTTCGACAGCTTTACCTCTGGACCTGTTTAAACTCTCAACTCGGACATCGTCCCAGTGGTGGCGGGTGCCGAGTCCCCTACGTGGTGGGGGAGGGGGATGCCCCGGCGAGAAAAAGTAGGCTGGTCCGGCCCCGCTCAAAATCTTGTGCTTCCAAAAACCTTCAAGCACTGCTTTTACACCACTTTATTCTTAGTTTTAATATTACTTTTTACAGATGATCGGTGTCGGGCCGTAAAAAACAAGGTGTTCTTTAGCCATTGTTGCTTGGCAGCATACACACATAGGCCTATGGTTTTTAATTCATTTTCGTGGGCCGCAATAAAAATAACTGCAGCCCGCTGGCCGCCTTTGCCCACCTGTGATTTAGGGGTTTCAAAGACTTACGCCCATGTAGGCGGTTTTGGGGTCTACTATATACCAGTATGTCAAAAATATATTTTGAGTGGGCAAAGTTTCCACGAAATAGATGGATGGGATTGTCGTGAATTTGTTATTAAAATTGACTGACAACAATGATGGCCTCCTCGTTGATTTACACTAACAGTGGAATTGTTTTGTTGACCATTAGTTTGAGCCTACTCCCCGACGAATAGACCTAATTGTGGTTTTCACCCCTACCGAGGGAGGGGCAGCTCTCCCTGAAGTGGGGTGGGGAGGGGGTGCCGCCCTGAATCGTCCCTACCCTTCCCATCGGGCACATCCCCGTTGGGCTCCTGACGCGCTACATTGGTAGGCTATCACATGACGATGGTTGTGTGCTTTTCACGCTTTCTAATTTTTTTAAATTTTTATGAAATTGATCTACTATAAATAGGCATAGGTCATTTTTTTTTTTGCGTAATATATCTAAACGAGAGGACTCAATGACATTTTGACGGAACAGCTTATGTTTGGTCACTGTGGTATAGTGATTTACTAAGGAACGTAAGCGATCCCTAATGCGCATCTCCCTGGTCTGGTTAGACGATCTGTGCAGACTTGTACCCAGTCATAACCTTAAAAGCAAATATACACAGCCAATCAGATAGCTAGCCGTGACTGTGTCACATTCTGTATTTGGAAAGGGGCTGTACTAGACCATTGGCACCGGTATGTTTTTGACGATTTCTCATTCTACCTACCAAGCATTAACGCGTGCCTAGTAACTGTTCTTTGATAATGCAAAGCAAATAATTACGATTGTTTGGTCAGTTTTTGTATTTTTATAAAATATAATCTATACCGACGTCCAGTGATCTGACGTATAGGAGTCTGTTTTATATACTCCCATGTTTGTTGAATATATTTTAGTGACATCTAAATGAAATAGAATGACACTTGTTTGAACGATATTGGAATAGAATTTGTTGTGCGAGCACTCATAATCGTTGAGCTATATTTACACCTGGTTGTTTAGAATCGCGACTTGTCTCGAGTAGGACTTACTGCTAGTTCATGCGTGTCGTGCAAGTTTTGTTCCGCTGATAATACTCATTACTCACGACATGAATTAGAGGTTTTACAAGGCAGGAAAACCAAAACAAATATTTTGAGTGGGCAAAGTTTCCACGAAATAGATGGATTGTCGTGAATTTGTTATTAAAGTTGACTGACAACAATGATGGCCTCCTCGTTGATTTACACTAACAGTGGAATTGTTTTGTTGACCATCAGTTTGAGCCTACTTTCCCGGCTGAGTTTTGGACTGTCGTGTGAGCCCTGCTATGAAAGGGAATGCGTGCGACCAATTTGTAAAGGAGGCCTCGTATTTGATGTATGTAATTGTTGCCCGGTCTGTGCTAAGATTGAAGGGGAAAAATGCGGTGGTCCATGGGGATTATTCGGTACTTGTGACGATGGATTACATTGCAAAGGTGGCCGATTTTTTGGGGATCATGTAAAAGAAGGAGTTGAAGACGATTTAGGTGTCTGTACAGGTACGTTTTTTCCGCCGTTTCTTGCTTGAGTAAGCCTTATTGTACAATGTATGATGGTTCTAAGCATGGTAGGTGCATAGGCTAATTTGATGAGAATGACGTTCACAATTATCTACTGTAGAACAATCATGTTCAAAAGCAGTAACATTTATATTCTTCTTCTTATCGAGTCACTACGTAGCTAGTGTGTATGATCTAGTTTACGTAATGTGGTAGCAGGATTTGCAGGTTGGATGGGTACCTGACATGGGCCGCGTCGTGAGCGCTCCTTCTGTGGCCGGACAGGGGACTAGAGATGGACCAGTACACCGGGGTAACCCCTTACTCTTCTCGAATGATGTGCTGGGTTCTTTAAAGTGCACACGAGCCAATTGTGTGCACTGGGCCTACGGTTTAGAGTCCTTATCCGAGAAGACTTGTTCCACCACCAGAACCATAGGCGAGCGTAGTCGACCTTATCCGAGAAGACTTGTTCCACCACCGGTTCCCCCCAACTTTCACTAGCGCTGCCACTATTCATGGTTTGATATTAACTAATATTTATGTCTTGATCTAGGTGCAATGTAGAGCTACTCTACATACCAAAGTGTAAGCCTTCAAATATTTCAAAATACAAACAGATTATCAAACAACTGGACGAGATTTTAAACCAGAAATGGTTGAAATAATCAAATGCTTTGTAAGTCCATTAGGAAATCAGGATTTAAAAACACCAAAACTGGTCTGAAAAAGTAGTCTGGAAGAGCACCATAGCAACATAACTGTCCGGTACGCGATATCAGAATGTACCCGGTATTTGACTTAATAAACAACTGTAGGCTACTGCTGTAGTACTACATTCAACACTCGGTACTCAAACTTTTATTTCTTCCCTTACAGAAGTTGCTTGAAAAATATTAAAATTAGAATTTTCAAAATATAAAAGCTGTTAAAATTTTTAGATTAAAACATTAGAATCACAATATTAATATGTCATATTAAACATTTTTTTTAAAAGTTAAAACTTGCTGTTTTATGCAGAGGACATTTGTTCATAATGATCTTAGTCAAGGTAGTTTCTTTGTTCTCTAGCACTAGAGTTGGAAAGGTCATCAGGAGATCACGAAGACTGCGTACAAACGCTGTTCTCTGGATGCAATATTCGTAATGGTGTGTGTCAATGCGACAATGATGTCCTTGAATGCGACAACCCCTTTGCTTATGCTAATTATGCTCTTTGTCAGGATGCCTTGTGGCGGATTGCCTCTGAAAACGGTAAGCATAGTTATTTCTTTTTCATATTGATAAAAGTTACAACAAAATATGCACAAAAAAAAAAAAATGGTTCAACCTAATTATTATATCTTTAATAATTCATTTACTGCTTTCTTGAAAACTTTAAAATTGGGGTGCATACGTTGTCGTTAACATAGTTCCACAGAAAATGGAATGTGACATGGGCGCGCAACAAATTGTTTTTATGATGATCTGTTTAGGCTGCCAATTAGCAGACGGAGATAGATTTTTCGGTCGACCCTCCTTGTGCCAGGCTTGCGCAATATTTGATATATTTTTAGTTGCATTCTGGATTGTGTTTGTTATTATTTACCGTAGTAACTGCTACAGTGGTAGCAGTGTAGTATGTGGACTGATTGTTGTCTAGTATAATCACATTACATCATCAGCTATATACTGCCCATTGAAGAGCAAAAACCTACCCAAATTGGCACCAAAGTTGCCTGTTATTTTACCTTTGCCCTCAGTTGCACCACACTCTGAACCTGTAGACTTCATCTCTCAACACATGTTCAATATTAAATCAAAATATTACTTTACTTAATTTGTTTATTCTGTAGCACATTTAAAATGCTTAAACTGAATTAACTTCAATAAAAAAAATCTCATTCTGAAGATATCATCAGCGACATTACAAAGACCAAGTTTCTATACTTGCTTTGTTTTTTACATTGACATCACTCAATTTTCAATTTCATGCTGTTTCCTCGAAGAACTGAATTTGCCATAGATCAAGGTAGTGTGTAATGGTTTTGTTTGGGCCAGGATTCCACAGTCATTAGGCCGTCAACAGATGTCATTACTAAATGCATGCTGCAATACTATTAGTCGTGACATCATAACATCATGTGTACTAGTTATTGGGCTTCGAAAAACGAAATTTTCTCTTGGAATTTTGTTTTTGCTGATTCAATCTTCACTTTGATCTTTTTTTACAATTACAGTACCTACAAAATTTACAGATAATTGCTGCATGCCATGCAATGCTACTAAATGAATTAACTCCATTTAGCATCCACAATCATCATAATTTCAATCCAGGCATAATTTACATCCACCAACAACTCCACTTGGGAGTCACAATCATCAGTTTTGCTGGATGGATCACACCCATGAATGGTATTTGTATATAAAAAAGGTGGAAAAAAAATAATGCATGAATTGAACAATGATCTATGAAATCTGAATTGAACTCAACAGTAGTTGAATTTAAACAACTCTTGTTAGAAATCAATGTAATTAATCTATTAATCAGCACACAATTTAGTAGTTATAAATATAATAGCAAATCAGGTTCATATTTAAGAATATTTATATGATAGAACCGTCAAAATCTCCCTAAAAAGACATTGCTTTTTATGTGTACTGTATGACTCAATCACACTTAGGAATTTTGTCTGAAGGAGCGTTCATAATTCTTTTATATTTATTGAAGTTATTTTATTATGCATTGTGGTATTATTGAGCACTATCCCTTTAATTTTGACAGCTATTGTGTCGTTGAATTTTTTTGACAACAGGTTGAACAATATAAAGCAAAGCATACTGTAGTATGCATTCAGTGTCTATCATTCTTGGCTCATCTTTTTAATAGTCTAATTTTTTTACCATTGACAAAAGATAAGTCATTGAGTATTAGCTACCCTATAATTGTCAAGTACAGGTATGCTAACTATTCCCCAAATATCAAGGTTCATGAGGATTGATGAGGCATTAATAGTGACATTTTTTTTGTATATTTTACAAGACATTCCTTTGTTCTTGTCATTTCCTACTAAAGTCTAAGATGAAATACTATAGATAATGAGACATTTTTGAATAAGGACATACCAAATTAAAAATATAGAACCTGTTGCAGTAACACTTTTTCATTCCATCTCACCTATACTGTAATGCTCAATAAATAACGAGATGGGATATTTGGCATACTATATAAAAAGGCAGTGAAAAGAAAATATGTTTTAAATTATCACAATGGAAGTTTTGTAAATTTTTGTGCTATATTTAATTTTTATTTGATATTTCATTTTTTTTTTGTTTTTTTTGTTTTTTGTAGCATGTGTAACTTGAGACTTCTTCAGAAGTAAGCACTCTAGCTTAATCCCCAGTTATAGGGTCTATGTCATTTTCTAGTTTTACTAGTATGTTAATTTTTTTGTGAAGATAAGAATTTTCATGATTTTTATCTTGTGAATGTTTACTGTTAGTTTTATGTTACAGCATAGCAATAAATAAACATTGACTGACTGGGTTAAAATTCCCCTTAAGAGGTGCATCATAATGTACTGTACTGCTAGTATTAGGCCTATGTAATTACATGCTAAATCAATCCTTAAACACCTGCTTAGTTTCCATTTCAATTTTTGGAAATACAGTAGTAATGTATTTAAAATGCAATACCATAGGCCTACTTCATTATTTCTTCCATATTAGTTGGTCTTAAAAACTACAGTATTAATACATAATTTTACATGACCTTCATTATAAATTTGGTTTCAATAATTAACTATTTAATTTTGTTTTCTATCATTTTGAACTTTATTTTTAAATATAAAATTATATATTTTCAAGTTCAGTATATTGGGTACCATAATAATTTGTTTAAACTAGAAGAGAGTTTAAAAAGTATTAAAAAAAGATGATTCTATTGTGTTTAAGTTGAAATAAATAAGGTTCTAAGGACAAGGGTATGGTTGTCGTAATAAATACAGGACGTATCTAGGGGTGCGCAGGAGGGCGCATGCCCCTCCAAAAATTACTTGCGTTCCCCAAGTTCCCCAAAAATCAAGGTTAAGTTGTTAAAAGCACCTAAAATCACCTTATTTTGTGAGATAGTGTCCCATCGACGGATGATTGAGCATTGCACCTTTGTGCCCCACCATCAGTACTGTACCTCCACTTCAAGACTCCTAGATACCCCACTGAATAAAATTGTTTTTCTATGCAACAATTAATTGACTGTCGAATTAGTTTGAGTAAATAAAAATACCTTTCTGTCCCTCATCAATTTTGCAAGTGGGTTAAGGTGATATAATCTAATCATATTTTTATGGGATCTCAGAGACTCTTGCCATACCTTTTGGTTATTTAGCAACTGCTATGAAATTTGTACACTGTCAGCCATTATTTATTAAGTTTGGTGTGGGAAAATTTATATGGAATTTATGTGGGAAGTGTAGTTAAACATAGAGTGTTTACAGAAGACGAGCACATCATTTATATTTTGTATGGGATCAGTCAGTGATCTTGATGAAGTATCAGTCGGTAATCTTCTTTACATAGTTAAACAAAAGCATGTTGTTGCAGACAAGAATATGGCTTGTCAACGGACAACAATGGTGTCATTTACATCGTGCATATACCTATTAACTATTACTATCATTATTATTATTGTTAATATTTGGATAATACTGTAGCAAAATGGAAACATCAAATATATTTCAGCTCTATAATCACTTTGTAAAGAGTTTATGACTATCTTATCAATCAGTATTGTTTCTTTAGCGAGTGGCTGCCGTCAGAGTCACGCCACTGGAGAAAACCGACCGTAGTGATCATGATACGGACTATTTGCCTGAATATGGGATGACTCTGAATTGTTTTTTACTGTTTGAGGTGGTTGATCATTGTAGAGTGCTAATAAACATATTCAATATCACAAACTAGTCACAAATCAGATAGCAAAATCAGCTATCGATCAGTCTAAAAAAATTGTAAAGTAGTTGAATTAATTGAGTTTTATTTTTTAGGAAAAAAGCAGTATCTAAAACAAAATAATGAAACGCACTACTTTAAACTAGACTTATTGGTCTGTTTACATTGAAATTGTGCATTGCAGTGACCCTGATTATTTCCGTTTCCCTTTATTACTACGACCTTAAGTGCACCACCCATACTCTCTGAACGGGACACCTGACTGTCCAGCAGGAATGTTCATATTTGGCATCAAAAGGTTATTAATGTTAGAATTTCAACTTATAAAATACGTAGAAAAACTGTTCCCTGGTAGAAACAAATCAAGCAGTAATAGGAATCAACTGCTTGAGATTCATATGCTGCTCTGCTATTCATGGTGGTTTCCAGGATTGCCATTGGAGGGTGCGGGGGTGTGCAAAATGGATGAACTGGGGTACACCAGAATCTCTGTCTTGGACAAGGGCACAGATCCGGTTAGATTATAGCTTTGATTTTTCTTCAATGCCCAAATACTAATAATGCTAATGATAGATTGCTAGTTAAAGGGTAAATAATAAAGATTCTCTTTTAATCTTTATTACTGAAAATAAACTCTATAATCAGTATATTCTTGACATATATATGACCGATTGAAACATGTGAATGGTATTTGTAAAACATTTCCATATTGTCGTAATTATGTAAAATCAATCACAGTGATTCGATAAGTTGTCAAAACTTTCCATATTATAGTCATTAAAATTCTTAATCAGATTTATTCAGTTGACTGATTGTTGCACAAGAACATGGATAACAATGTGCATGAATGAATACTGGTACAATATGTTAATGATAATGTATCCAGCAACAGAAAACACACAGTGGTTCCACTGGAACAAATGAAATTTAAAGAAAATGTGATTATTTTCCCATTTTCAGGGAGGATAAGGATCTTCAAATACTTTATTATTTAACAAAAGTTTACTGTATAAAAAAGAATAGAGCAAGAGCATTTTGAAAAAATGGAACCATTGTTAGAAACATAATTTAAAATGCATACCTTGTCCTAGGGTAAGGACCCTAAATAATTATAAATTAATTATTAATAATTATAATATTAGGCCAAATTAAAAAAATGACTAGTTTCTCATCTATTTAAAATTTGTTTTAAATTTCCTTTATTTTATGAAATGTACAAAAATCTGGCTAACTCATATCAGTAAAATTTGTCTCTCAGTAGTTTGTGGTTGGGGATATATGGTGTGAATCGTGTTTAGTATTTCTTTTATTTGCTTTCAATGTGT